AGGGGGCCAGGCGGTTCCTCTGTGCAGCCAGCTCAGGGTCTTGCCGCTGGAGGGCCCTCTGCTCGCTTTGCTCGTTCACGCTTGTGCTCAGCAGTTAAATCCGGAGAGTTTACAGTGTGCAGGGCCCAGGGCTGGGCCAGTCCCTCTGCCCTCAGCTTACACACTGGGGAAAGGGATCAGGGATGCTCAGTAGGCTCTTGACTGAATACCAAGGGTGGGGAGGGCCACACAGAGCTTGGGAGCTCAGTCCGGGCACGGGCACGGGCTGGTAGGTGGGAGACAGGAGAGTGATGAGAACTTAGCAAGGGGCGGGGCTGGGAACCAGAGGAAAATCATCACGATCTCTTTTTTTCTCCTCCTCTGCTTCCATCTTTCTCTCTTTGGTTTTCGAACTACACCTAGCTGTGCTCAAGGCTTAATCCTGGCTCTGGGCTCAGGAATCCTGATGAGATTCAGGAAACCACATTGGATGCGGGGGATTGAACCTGGGTCAGCCACCTGCAAGGCCAGCACCTTCCCTGCTGTGCTTTCTCCATCGTCTGCACACTCTCATTGGCTTCTCCATGCTGCCCTGCACACCTTTGCTCCTGGCTGGCTTCAGGGGCCCTGGACAAGGCAGATGGGCATCAGCCAGCTGACCTGTCCCTGCCCTGGTCCCTTCCGAAGAAGCAGCTGCCAGGGGTCTTTCAGTCACAGCCCTCCCTCAGATTCTTGCTGATTCAGGCTCTGAGGCTTCCCTGCTGGACTCAGACGTTTCTCAGCCAAGGGAAGAAATGTGTGCTCATGGGAGAGGAAGAGGGTCTATGCACCTAGTTGTGGGCAGCAGTCAGGACAGCATGGAAGTTTTGAGAAAGTTGTGTTCCAGAAGTCTGGGAGTGGGTCTGGAGCAGTAGCTCAGCAGGGAGTGCATTTGCCTTGCACGCGGCCGACTCGGGTTTAATTCCCAGTGTCCCATATGGTCCCCTGACACCGCCAGGAGTGATTCCTGAGTGCAGAGCCAGGAGTAACCCTAGTGCATCGCAGGGTGTGACCCAAAAAGAAAAAAGTCTGGGAGGAAGGAGGCGCAGGGTTGGGGGGGAGGCTGGTGGACCCACCCTTGGCCGAGGTGTCTCTCACCTGTGTTAGACTGACAGGTGGGTGGAGGGTGGGCTCCAGGCTAAAAAGTAACCATTAAAGTATTTGCTTGTTTGATAGGAAAATCGATATAGCAACAGAAAACCCCTTCTAAGAACAAGATGGGGATTCAGGGAGCTGCTTTTGGGGGGAGTTTCCATGCCGTCTCAGCTTGCAGGGTTTGAGACTGCCTCTGCCTGATGAGCAAGTTTAAAAGGAGCCACGATGGGAATCGAATTCACAGCAGAGGCTTCACCTGGGCAGGAGGGAGAGGATGATCCACTGGCTGGATTATTCCAGTGCATGCACGCTCGCGAACACACACACACACACACACACACACACAGATACATGCACATGCACACATGCAGACATGCACTGAACAGCTGATGGGTTCTTCCAGAGTAGCCAGCTCCTGTACAATGTCACATGCATGCAGGGGAAACTGAGGCATAGCATCCAAGTGACTCTCGATCAGAGAAATCAGTGAGAGAGAAATTTGAGCCTGAGGGCTCATTTTATTCTTGTTTATTTTTTTTTTTGAGAAAGAATTTGAGTTTTATTCTAGTAACAATGAGAAACCACCATTGTAAGCTGGAGAGTGAGATAATCTCATTTACATATGCAAACAATAGCTTTAGTCCAAGAGAATTCATATACCACAAAATTGATCCCCCCCCTTGTTTGTCTTAATTATATAATTCTTCAAAGTTGTCTTTTTATGTTTTACTATTTTTTATTTGTTGTTAGTATTTGGACAACACTTGTCAGTGCTCAGGGCTTATTCCTGGCTCTGCTCTCAGGGATTACTCTTTTTTTTTTTTTTTTTGCTTTTTGGGTCACACTTGGCAGTGCTCAGGGGTTACTCCTGGCTCATGCACTCAGGAATTACTCCTGGTGGTGCTCAGGGGACCATATGGGATGCTGGGAGTCAAACCCGACTTGGCCTTGTGCAAGGTAAATGCCCTATGGGATGTGCTATCGCTCCAGCCCCTCAGTGATTATTCTTACTGTGGCTCAGGGGACCACATGGAGTGCCAGGGAAGAAACCTGAGTAGCCCCTGGGCAAAGCAATTGTCCTTCCTGCTGTACTGTCTCTCCAATCCCTTAAAGTTGTCTTTTTAGAAACCGTTTTTGTTATAAAATGGAGAATGCTTTTCACATCCCTCATCAAAACAGAGCACATTTTATTTATTTATTTATTTTTGGCTTTTGGGGTCACACCTGGCAATGCTTAGGCGTTATTCCTGGTTTTGCACTCAGGAATTACTCCTCCCAGTTCTTGAGGGGCCATACGGGATGCTGGAGATTGAACCCAAGTGGGTGGCATGCAAGGCAAAAAGTTGTCCCCACTGTACTATCATTCTAGCCCCACAAAGCACCTTTTAGATGCTCATATTTACCAAATCTTTTCTATTTGTTTAATAAGAACATCATTAAGGTACTTTGACAGTTAAACATTGTCCAGAAGCTTTGCTATTTATCCCTGTTTCCATCCACGGAACTTAAATGGCAGAAGTGACTCTAACCATTAAAACTTCAGTGCTGGAGTGATAGCACAAAGGGTAGGGCACTTGGCTTGCATGCAAACAACCCAGGTTCGATCCCTGGAAACTCATATTTTCATTATATCCCTGGAAACCCTTAGCACGGAACAAGAGTAAGCCCTAGTGGGGCCCTAAAACAATAAATAAATAAGTAAATAAGCATTAGGCTTTGTTGCATTATTGAGAGTGACTATGAGACACTAAACTTTCAGACACTGAAAAACATGTTTAAACAGGTTTAAAAACCTGTTTAAAACAGGTTTAAAACACCTGTGTGATAAATTTTTCGTGATAGATCACAAAGGAAGCAGGGGAAGGAAACCGGAAATAATAATCTTCAATCAGAAGAAAATCATATTAAATTTCGAGAGAAGAACGCAAAACTAGGATGGCAGACAATATGTGAAAAAAGGTGTTGGTGGAACAAAACTCTTTTAAAAAAATTTTTTTAATAATGTAGAAGCAACGGTATTTATTGATCAAGCTGATTGAATTGGGCATGAACTCCACATTACGTTTTTTTCTTTTTAAAAATTTTTTAATTTTATAAGTTAGTTCACAATGTTTTATTACATTCAATATTCAAACACCAATCCCACCACCATTACACCTTCCCACCACCAAATTTGGGATGTTTCCATCCCAAACCCCAATTCTTGCCCCAAAACACAACCGAAAGAATATATTTCGTGTTGTCTGTTATGAAGAACTGCTGAATATGCTTACATAAAAGTGGAACAAGACTCTTTTTTTTTATTAGTGAAACACCATGAGGTACAGTTATAGACTTATAAATCTTTGTGCTTGGGTTTCAGTTATACAATGATCAAGTACCCATCCCTCCACTAGTGCCCATCCTCCACCACCACGGGTCCCAGCATCCCCCCACCTCCCCCTCCCACCCTGCCTCTGTGGCAGGGTATTCCCCCTTGTTCTCTCTCTCTTCTTTTGGGTGCAGTGGTTTGCAAAAGAGGCATTGAGTGGCAATCATGTTCGGCTATAGTCTACTTTCAGCATGCTTCTCCCACCCTGGGAGGGTCCTCACAACACCCTTTATTTGGTGCTCTCTGCTCTATCTGAGCTTCCTTTTCCCCTAGCACGTGTGGCTGGCCTTCAAGTCATGGAGCAAAATTCCTGGTACTAATCTCAGCCATTCCTGGGTGTTAGTCTCCCTTTTTGCTGCTTTATGGAACAAAACTCTTGATAATTTCAAATGATTATTTTGTGGACAGATTGGACAAGTTTTTTTTCTCATAAAATTATTATAAATTTTTTATTTTATTTTATTTTTTAATTTTTATTAGTGAAACACCATGAGGTACAGTTGTAGACTTACAAATTTTTGTGCTTGGGTTTCAATTGTACAATGATCAAACACCCACCCCTCCACCAGTGCCCATTTTTCACCACCATGGATCCCAGTACCCCTCCCACCCCCATCCCCCCATCCCCCTCTGCCTCCGTGGCAGGGCCTTCCCTTTTGTTCTCTCTCTCCTTTTGGGTGTTGTGGTTTGCAAAAGAGGCATTGAGTGATGATTGGACAAGTTTTACTCAACAAAATTTTATTCTTTTTTTTAAAATTGAATCACCGTGAGATGCAGTTATAAAACTTTCATGTTTGAGTTTCAGTCATACAATGATGGAACACCCATCCCTCCACCAGTGTACATTTTCCTCCACCAATGTTCCCAGTATACCCTCCCCCCTTTCCAACCCTCCCCCTGCCTCTATGGCAGACAATTTTCCCCATACCTCTCTCTACTTTTGGGCATTGTGGTTTGCAATATAGATACTGAGAGGCCATCACGTTTGGTCCTTTATCTACTTTCAGCACACATCTCCCATCCCTAACGAGTCCTCCAACCATCATTGACTTAGTGATCCCCTCTCCAAAATTTTATTCTTACAAAAGGAAACAAATATGAAAACAAGTACATAATCTTGGCACTTAAGAAAGATTTCTGTCTCATACTAGGAAACGTTCGGAGGCGGGAAGGCGGTTCAGAAGCCGGGAAGGCGTTTCTGGATTCAGAGATGAGATCTGGCCAGCAAGGTTGCTGGAACCAGTATGTCCAGGAGGGGTCCCGGGAAAGTCCACAGAACCGGAACCGGCTGTTCTGTCTCTGACTTTTGCGGCTGCCGTTGCAGAGAAGGGGCTGCATTTAGAGGGGGTCGACAAGTGTTGCCGAGGAGGGGGCATGCAGGGACTCGACCACTCTTCGGGCAGGTGGGTTTAAAAGTTGCTTGCTTGTGACCGAGTCTGCGTTGCAGGCGTGCGTGCGTCCCAGGGCTGGCGCGTTGCACGCGTCGATGTGCTGCATGGCAGCCGGAGCGGACAGGTCACTGGCTGAAGAGGCGCCTGCGGGCTTTGCAGTGACGACGCCCGGGAAGAGGCTTGGGGCGCTTCTGGGTCCCTGCGCGGGGAGACTCGGGCAGCGGCTGCAGGGCGGAGTCGAGGCGGGCCTGGAGCAGGTGCAGGCGCAGGCTGAAGCAGGGGCCCGCGGGGCTTCCGTGAGGACTCAGGGTGGGGGCCCAAGGCGAGAGCTGCGGGCTGGGGTGCAGGCCGTCCCCCCAGCGCGCCGCAGGGTCCCTCTCGAGCGGCACGAGCTGGAGCCGGAGGTGCTGCGGGAAGGTCAGCGTCGGGGCCACGGCGGCGGCGGCGGCCAGCGGCAGCGGGAGGGCGGCGGCGGGGAAGGGTCCGAGCTGCAGGGCCCCCAGCGTCCCTCCGGCCTCCGGGGCAGCGGCGCGGAGGTGGGCCCAGCCGGCCAGAGTCTCCTGCGAGACCAGGAGGAGGGTGTGTCCCGGGACGCACACTCTCAGCAGCCGGCCGGGCCGGGGCTCCAGCACCAGGTCCCCGTGGGACAGAGCCCAGCCCGCGGCCACTAGCAGCAGAGATACCTGCGGGCCGGCGTCCGGGGCTGCGGCGGGCTGCTGCGGGCTGCTGGGTGGTCCCGGCAAGTCGAGGTCGTCCGGCGCGTGGCACCTGGGGCGCTTGGCAGGCTGCGCGCTCCGACCGGGTGCAGGGTCAGCGGTGGGGCTTCGGGGCCGGGAGCGCATGGTCCGGAGGGCGCGGCGGCGCGGCGGGCACTACGGCAGATGGCAGAGCGGCGACAGACAGGCGGGCAGGACACCGGCCGAGCAGGAGGCGACGAGGGGCTGCAGGACAGCGGGCAGCCGGCGGCGAGCGACGTGCAGGTGGCCTGAGGTCAGCGGCAAATGCGAGAGGCGAGAGGTCAGCAGAGCGGTGAGCTGCAAGGAGCCAGAGGTGCAGGGCGCGGGCGAGTCCCTGCCGGTCAGCAGAAGAGCCTGGCCGCTAGTGAGTGAGGGGCGGCCTCCGGGATGTGTTTAATAGCCTTGGCCCCGCCCACCTTGATCTCCGCCCCTGGCGTCGGGGCTCTAGGGGGGAGCTATCGGATAACCATTGGGGTGGGTCAGTCCCGCCCCCTGCAAGTCCCCACCAGGGGTGGACCCGGGGTGGGGAGTGGTGGAGTTGGTGGGGGAGGGCGGGGGGAGGGTCAGGGACGGCACCCGTGGCTTCTGGGTCTGTGGGAGTGATGCTGGTTGGGGTGCTGGGGGTGGGTCTGTGAGGTTTGTGAAAGGCAAGAGCGGAGCAGGTGCCTCGAGGTCTCGAGGTCTTGGTTTCGCTGGTGCAGGGAGAAGAGGGTGCCATCAGTCCATCCCGCTTGTCTTCAGGGGAACTTGCCTCCCTCTTCCGACCCCTTAGTCCTTTGCTGGGGTCTGGAATAGAATTGACTCCCAACCCCCAGGATTGAGTCCCTCCTTCTTTTTCCACACCTTTCCTCAGGCCAGGTAAGCGTTCCCTCTGGATCAAGGCAGGGAACCCCTTCACAAGCGTGGTGTGAAACTCAAGGATGGTGGGATTGGCTGGCAGCCAGGAGGCAGGATAAGTAATGAATTTATGGACTCATGATGGAGTGAGGGACCCAGTGCAAGTTGACTCGTGGGTTCCGCTGAGCGGCACTTCATCCAGACATGTTCTTCTGGCCTCCACTCCCCAATTTACAAGCCCCCTTCTCTGTCTCCTGCTTTCTGTGGCTTCCAAAAAGAGGTGCCCTGAGCAGGAATTCAGCTCCCACAAGGGGGGAGGGGGGAGAGAGAGAGGAATTGGAGCTAACAGAGGGGGCAAGTGGCAGGGCTGGCTATTCAGAGACCAGAACAGGGAAAGCCAAGCTTCTTTCTCTTGCCCTTGATGTCTATTTTGGGAAGCAGCAGGCAACTCGGTTTTGGGACTGCCTCCTCACCAATACTTAATATTATTCACCTTTTCTTTTCCTTTTAACTTTTTTTTGCGGCATGGTGATTTACAATACCATTATATCAGGGGTTCATGCACGAAACGTTCCAACACCATACCCTCCAGCACTGTTGGCTTCAGTCTACCATTATCTCAGTCAGGGTCCCTCCCAACCACCCTGCCCAAGGGGGCAGCCATTGGGTAGCTGGTTCTGTAAAACTGTTCCCAGGTTCTATTGTCTCCGGTCATTTGTCATTTCCTTAATCTGATTCTCTACACACACACACACACACACACACACACACACACACACACACACGAGACAAATCTGTGTCGTTTCCTCTCCTTCTGGCTGACTTCACTTGGCATGAAGTTCCATGTGAATTTCATATTCTATAGATGACTTCCATCCACAAGGTGGCCAATTGCATGATCTGTCTTTTTCTTATAGCTGGGTAGTGTTCCATTGTCTATGCAAACCACTTTTTCTAGACCCAGTTATCTCTTCTGGATACTCAGTTTACTTCCAGATCTTGTGCATTGTGAATAGTGCTTTACAGAAACTAGGAGTGCAAATATCTTTACAAAGTTGTGTTTTTTTTTTGGGGGGGGGAGGGCATTGGGATAGATGCCAAGAAGTAAAATTTTCAGGTTAATTTTTAGTGTTTATTTGGGATAAATGTCTATTTTGTTCTCAGAGGTTTGAACACTGACACAATCCCCAGCTGTGGCTGTGGGTTCCTTTTCCCGAACAGCCAGTCAATACTGATTGCTTTCAGTCTCACTGGTGTGAGAGTGGTATCTCGCTGCATTGATTTGCTTTTAATTGGTGATAAATACTAAGGAAAGCTTTTTACATACCTGTTGACCATCTGTTTGTCTTTAGAAAATTATTTGTTCAACTTTCGCCCTGGGTTTTTTTTTTTTGGGTGGGGGTAACACCCGACAACGCTCAGCAGTTACTCCTGGCTCTGCACTCAGGAATCACTCCTGGCAGTGCCTGGAGGACCATATGGGATGCCGGGGGTCAAACCTGGGTCAGTTTGACCCCTGGCAAGTGCCCTACTCACTGTACTATTGCTTTGGCCAGGGTTTTTTGTTTTTGTTTTTGTTTGCAGTGGGTATATGTGGCTAAGTTTGGCAAGTGTTGTATCGATCATATGCAATGTTTGTTTACATACTCAATGTTTGTTTACCCCTGTTTACTCTTCTGTCAGGAATATGCCTCTGGTTTCTCAATTATTTTTCAAGTGGTCTTGAGGACCTGTCTTTATTCCAGTACCACATTGTCTTGAGTACTTCAGCTCTCACATATCATTGAAAGTTTGGGAACAAGAAGCCTCGAAGTTTCTTTTATTTTTTTGGGATTGCTTTGGCTATTCAGGGCATTTTATTACTCCACCTATATTTCAACAGTATTTGCTCAAGCCTTTTAAAAAATCAAAGCTCTTTTTTTGGCTATACCTGCAGTGCTCAGGGATTAGTCCTGGATCGGCATTCAGGGATCACTCATGGTGGGGCTCAGGGGAACCATATGGGGTGCTGGGGATTGAATCCAGTTCTACTGCATGCAAGGAAAGTGCCTATTTTACTTTCTCACTGGTCCCTCACAGGAATTTTGATAGGGACAGAATGGAGTCTGTTTAGCATTTTGGAGTTATTGTTCACTTTTTCAAGGGCTGCTATGAAATGATATTTTGTGTGGGAGGATCTTGAGATTTGCCTCTGGACTTGTGAGATTTATGGCCTGAGTATGTCAGACAGGTATCAAGTCCTACTTTCAGGTTTCAAAGGGATGATGATGATGACCCTTTTCGGGCCCATCACTGGGGATTTTTAGGATCCCTCTGGACTCACACTTGTGGAATGAACTGTTTCCTTTTTATAGTGGCATAAAAAGTAAACCAGTGGAGAAACAAAGGGACAGAGGGATGAAGGAAGACAAAAAAGATAGAAACAGGAAAGGAAGGAAAGAAGGAAGGAAGGAAGGAAGGAAAAGCGAGGAAGAAAGAAAGGAAGAGGTACCAGATGGGGGCAGGCATCCTCTCTGCCTGCACCAGACGAACCCCAGTAGCTGCAAATCTCCAGAACCCAACAGCTGCCACCCTCATGGCCGATCTTCACAGCTCCATCTGGGCCTCTCACACATCTGCTAAAAAACCCAGGTATTCGGGACCAGTAGCTGAAAACTGGTCCAGGCCTCAAGGATTAGGGAGTGGGCCATCTCTTCCCATCTCCCTGCCCTTCTGGGGTCCTGGCTGTCACACCCTGTCTGTCACGTGTGCAATTTAAGGGCATTAACAGCCATGATCCTGAGATTCACAAATGAATCTTGGAACGGAGCAGCTCTCTGCAGGGATGGCTCCGGACGCTAGTAATTTAAATTTTTAGAATCCCAGGAGTGCACGGCCATATTTTTGCGGCCAAGCGTTATCTCATACTTTTTTTTTCACTCTTTTGATGAATCACTGTGAGATAGACCCTTACAGACATATTATACTATTCATAACAAGCAATGCAAAATAAATTATCTAGCATCTGCCTGTGGGGCAGACTTGAGTGGTGGTGGAAAACTTCAAAATAAGGGTAGTGGGGAGGTGTAATAGTGGTGGGTTTGGTGTCAAAATATTGAATGTAATGAATTATTGTGAACAATAATTGAAAATAAAATTAAAAATAAAACGAAAGGAAGAGGTGCATATGTCAGTATGATGCACCATGTGGCACCAGGGATTTGCAACTTAAGCTTTGTATTATCTTTTTAGTCCTTAAATGCCACCATTCAATATAACTTGGTAGTTTGTAGTCATGTAGCAAAAAGTAATATAATTTCAAAATGGTGATGGTATCATAAAATTATTACAGAGAGTAGGACCAAACCCACTAAAATAAATGTAATAAATACTCTGGGGAGAAAAGTTGTGCATAAATAAAGTGCTGGAAAAATAATTTTTAAAAATTAGTCCCTGTTGAATATATCCCAGAGAGGCAAAAATGTATAGTCGAAGTGACATCTGCACTTGTTTGTTCATTGCAGCACTCTTTACAATAGCCAGAAACTGGAAGAAACCTGAATGCCCAAGAACAGATGACTGGTTAAAGAAACTTTGGTACATCTACACAATGGAGTACTATGTAGCTGTTAGAAAAGATGAAGTCATGAAATTTACATACAAGTGGTACAGCATGGAAAGTATCATGCTAAGCAAAATGAGTCAGAAAGAGAGGGATAGACATAGAAAGATTGCATTCATCTGGGGGATATAAAGTAACAAAATATGAGATTAATACCCAAGAATAGCTGAGATCAGCACCAGGAGGATTACTCCATTGCTTAGAGGCCAGCTGGGCATTCTAGGGGAAAGGGCAGCTCAGATAGAGAAGGAAGCACCAAATAAAGGGTGTTTGGAGGATCCTCCCAGGAGGGGAGATGCATGTCGAAAGTAGACTATGGACTGAACATGTTTGCCACTCAATGCCTCTTTTGTAGACCACAACACCCAAAAGGAGAGAGAGAACACAAGGGATTGCCCTGCCACAGAGGCAGGGGGGATGGGGGGATGGGGGTGGGGGGGATATTATCCATGGTGGTGGAAAATGGGCACTGGTGGAGGGATGGGTATTTGATCATTGAATAATCGAAACCCAAGCACAAAAAATTGTAAATCTACAACTGTACCTCATGGTGTTTCACTAATAAAAAAAAAAAAGAAATGGCAAAAAAAAAATTAGTCCCTGTTAAATTACAGTTATTCGTGATTGGGATTCAGGCATTAGTGTTTCAACACTAATCCCTCCACTAGTGCCCACTTCCCTTACACCAATTTCCCCTACTCCCCTGGGAAAGGAATTTGCGACAAAAATTGCATTATTTTGCAATAGCATTATTTTTATTAAAGAAACATGAAAATTTTACAAATACAGAGAAAAATACATAAATTTAAATAGAGAATTTACAGAGTAATTCTGAAATAAATTAATCTGCCAAATAGCATATTAACATGAGAAATGTATTATTTCTATACATCAATATCAGTACAAAACAGGTGTCAGAGCAATAGGCCATCTGCCTTGCATGCAGCTGACCCGGGTTCGATCCCACCATCCCATATGGTCTCCCAAACACCAACAGGAATAATTCCTGAGTGCAGAGTCAGGAGTAACCCCTAAGCACTACTGGGTGTGACCTCCCAAATACCCCCAAAATGTGTGTTCAAAATTTATTCTATATCTTAGAACTATGAAAACATAGGATTGTTAGAATTCTGTACTTTTTTAGGACAGAAAATTTTTGTTAAATAGTGGTAAAAAATATCTTAAGACTTTTTTCTTTAGAAAAAACCCACATAACCAACAAATTAAATCATATGCTCACATAAAATGAGGAGGGCACAAATTCATTGCTGTATTTGTTCTGTATCCAGCAAACCTCTATTCCCATGCACTATCTGTAGATTTCCCAAAGGGCGAGAACCACAAAAAAAAAAAAAAAACAGAAAAAAAATGTGAGGGTAACAAAATTATCAGAGACTAAGGAAAAATCCACTAAAACAAATTTAACAATGACTCTAATTGGGGAGAAGAGCTGTACATGAGTAAAGTGCCTGGAAGAACAGACTTTTCAGGACAAAATGCTGGTCCTGAGTTTGGAGCAAAACTCCAGTGACTGGTGCAGCTAAAGATTTCCCTTTACAGAGAAAGCTGATGGAAGTGCACTTTGAAGGCAGAGGGTAACTCAGATGGGTCCACAGTGCTGTTTTACCCACATTACCTTCATTTCATTCTTTAACTCTAGTCATAAAAAATTCTGCAATGCAGCCTACGTAAATCATACACACACACACATACACACACACACCCCTCATACAAAACCCAAAGCTTTGGTCCTTTCTCCCCACTAGTGGCCAGGCCAGGCACTTCTGCTACCACGCAGGCGGAGAGTCTCTTGGTCCCCGGTCCCCGGCTGGCAGCCTGGTGGCCAGAGTCAGTTCATTCCTGGAAGAGGCGCCTGCGGGCTCTGCAGCGACGGCGACCTCGAGAAACCTTGGGGTGCTCCCGGACCCCTGGACTTGGAGAAACAGGCAGGGGCTGGAGCGCTGAGCTGAGGCAGGACTGGAGCAGATGGCTGCGCAGGCTGAAGTAGGGGCCCTGCGAACTTCTGGGTGGGCTCGGGGTGGGGGCCCATAGCCAGGGCTGCAGTGTGGGGCCTGGAGGGTCGGGGCTGGACCCACTGGGCACCTCGGGATGCGGCCTGAACACCGGGCCCGCTGCAGGCCCCATCCCAGGCAGGAGGGCCTGGGGCTGCTGGTGGGCGGGATTTGGGGGAGCTGCGGGGGGCTCTTCCCCGAAATCAGCTCGGAAGGCTCCCACTTGGATGGCCACAACCTCCCCACTGGCGCTCAGGAAAGCGCAGGGTTCCAGCGCTGCGGGCGGGAGGCCCTGGTGACCCCCTACCTGGCGCTCAGCCCAGAGCACTAGGGCCTCTGGGACCAGGATGAGGGTCTGACCCGGGAGACACACTCGCAGGGCACTTGTGGGATGGGGTTCCAGCACCAGCTCGGTGTCGTCCAGGAGTACCGTGAGGGCCGAGTTTTCGGCCAGGAGCATCACTGAGATGCGCGGAGCGACGTCTTGCAAGCTGGGCAGCTTGAGGAGCTCGACTTGGGGGGCCTCCTGGAGTCTTGGGCGCTTGGCGGGACCGGGTCCAGATGCCTGGGCTCCGCAGCGGGGTGCAGGGTCGGCGCTGGGGCTGCGGGCTCGACTGCCCATCACTTGGAGTTGGCGGCTCGCTGCAGAGAGCTGGCAAGGCAGGTCAGCGGTGCACCCAGTGCCCGGCGGGCAGGATGCCTGGCACCGGCTGAAGGCGGCTGCAGGGTAGAACGGGGAGCGGCGTTCGGGCCTGGGCGAGTCGGCAGAGCTCTTGGTTCCTGGTGGCGTCCGGGTTCGGCCTGGGATCGTCCTCGCGGTTTGGAATCGAGGTCCTCACGCGAGAAGCCCGGCTCGGCTCTGAAGGAAGCCAGGCACAGCAGCGTGGCAAAGTTCAGGTAACTCCGCCCCTTCCTGTGCGGGTCCCCTACGGGGTCTGCAGGGCTCCAAGTCCGACCCACGCTGGGGCCCGCTCAGCAGGCAGCTCAGCAGGGTGCAGGGCTGGAGAGAGCCTCAGGGGGTCTTGGGTTCCAGGGCCACTTGTTGGCCTTTGCCTTGTGCACTGGACCGCAGGGGGTGGGGAGACTCATCGAAAAGCCGATTCAGCGTCAAATCCCGGAGCGGAGCGAGGCCCGGGACAGAGATGATTCTTTTCTCCCGTGACACCCCGTTCCGGAAGTGCTCCGAGATTTCTTAGGCCCAATAGCGGGGCAGAGTTTGAATCGCAGAGAAGCCTCAGTTTCACCGAGTCATAACATAGGCTGGATCTTTCCGGGGTATGAGAAGGAAAGCCATGTTTGGACAGAGTATGATGGGTAGGACCGCTAGCGCACTCTGGGTTAGTTTACTTCCAGCCCTACCGGTCTATCTCTATATTTAAGTTTTTTTAATTTAATTTTTTTCTTGCTTTTTGGGTCACACCCAGTGGTGCTCAGGGGTTACGCCTGGCTCTGCACTCAGCAATTACTCCTTGGAGGTGCTTGGGGGACCATATGAGATGCCAAAGATTGAACCTGGGTTGGTCGCATGCCAGGCAAATGCCCTACCCGCTGTACTATATCGATCCAGCCCCTGTCAATCTATATAGTACTGTGGGAATTATTTTCCCGTTCACTCAACCAACAGCTCCCTTGGTCTAATGGGACACAGTCTAATCAGACACACAGTTGCACGAGTGTGTGTGTTTTTAGTCAAATGTGGAGCTATTGAAGAAGTGATCATCAGAAAGGATTAACCCACTTGTTTAGGACTTGGAATAGACTGGCCTCTAAAGAAGCTGGTGTCCCCCTGAGAGGGAGAGTATGTTTCAGCCCTTCAAAGCCCTTCAAAGTGGAAGGATCGGACACTACTTTTGCTCCAGCGGCCCAGTAACACTGTGAGACTTGTTACTGTGTTTGGCATATCGAATACGTCAGGGGTAGCTTGCCAGGCTCTGCCCTGCGGGCGAGATACTCTTGGTAGCTTGCCGGGCTCTCCGAGAGGGGCAGAAGAATCGAATTCAGGTCAGCCATTTTGGCTGCGTGCAAGGCAAACGCCCTAACCGCTGTGCTATTGCTCCAGCCCACACTAGTTTTAGAATAGGATTTATTTGAACAATTTTATGCAGCACCAGGAGTCATTTCCCTCTACTACGAGTACCTGTCACTGTCCTCCCGTTGTTCATTGATTTACTCGAGCAGGCCTAGTAACATCTCCATTTTGAGACTTGTTGTTACTGTGTTTGGCATATTGAATATGCTCGGTAGTTTGCCGGGCTCTCCGAGAGGGGTGGAGGAATCGAACCTGGCTCGGCCAGGCTGGCTGCGTGCAAGGCAAATGCCTTACCGCTGTGCTATCACTCCAGCCCATTGAGTACCTAGGTGGTGATTACTTGCTTTGTTGTTCTTTAGAAAATAGTATACTGTCATTTTTCACACTGCGTATCATCCTTCAGGGCAGTACTTTTTTTATTTTTTATTTTATTTTTTAAATTTTTTGCTTTTTGGGTCACACCTGGCGATGCTCAGGGGTTACTCCTGGCTCATGTACTCAAGAATCATTTCTGGAGGTGCTTGGGGGACCATATGGGATGCTGGGAATCTAACCTGTGTCGGCCATGTTGGCTGCGTGCAAGGCAAACACCCTACCCGCTGTGCTATCGCTCCAGCCCCTACTTTTTAAAAAATTTTTATTTTTTTTTAATTTTTTAATTTTTGTTAGTGAGACACCATGAGGTACAGTTGTAGATTTACAAATTTTGTGCTTGGGTTTCAATTATACAATGATCAAATACCCATCCCTCCAGCAGTGCCCATTTCCCACCACCACGGATCCCAGTATCCCTCCCACCCCCCATCCCCCCATCCCACCCTGCCTCTGTGACAGGGCATTCCCCTCTGTTCTCTCTTTCCTTTTGGGTGTTGTGGTTTGCAAAAGAGGCATTGAATGGCAATCATGTTTGGTCTATAGTCTACTTTCAGCATGCTTCTCCCAACCTGGCAGTACTTTTAAGTTTAAATCTGGTGGACGTTGAGGTCAGTGATGTCTATTAGATAGTGCTAGAGTTCCTGCTAATATGTTCCAAAAATGCAGATTCTTTGTACTACAGCAAAATTGCTTCTCTGAAATCAATGGGACAGGAAAATTATGACATCCATGAACATCTGACTTCCCCACAATTCTGTTTTACACCAAGGTTTAAGATCCTTGGACTTTAGTGCTAAATGTTCATATTGGGTGCTGGGGATTGTACCGAGATCAGCAGTGTGCAAGACAAGCACCCTGCCTTCTTTACTATCTGTCCTGCCCAACATAATATTTCTGTACACCAGCAGCTATGTAAAAATGCATTAGAGTTATGAAAATTATAACAATAAAATATTTAAATATTTAGATTTAATGGACAAGATAAATTATGCTAAAATATTTAAGAATCATGAAAAAAGAGTTGGTTGTTTTGGAAAATATACACAACAATGTATTTAGATCTAGTACTCCCTGAGTCATGGAACCAGGCCGGCACAAGATCACTGCTGTGTTTCTTTTGTATCCAACAAACATTTGACCACACATACCTAGGTTTTCCACAGAGGGGTAAAGCCACTAAAAGGACAAGGTCAAAATGTTGAGGGTTTCGTAAACTCTCACAGAGATAAGAGCCAAAACCACTAATATAAATGTAATAATCACTCTAATTGGGAAAAAAGCATACACGAGTAAAGTGCTGAGAAAGGATAGAATTTGAGACAATTTTTAAAAAATTTTTATTAGTGAAACACTATGAGGTACAGTTGTAGACTTTTACAAATTTTTGTGCTTGGGTTTCAGTTATACAATGTTTGAATACCCATCCCTCCACCAGTGCCCATTCTCCACCACCATTAATCCCAGTATCCCTCCCGCCCTCCCCATCCCCCATCCCACCCTGCCTCTGTAGCAGGGCACTCCCTCTTGTTCTCTCTCTCCTTTTGGGTGCTGTGGTTTGCAAAAGAGGAATTGAGTGGCAAAACTCGAAGGAACGAGACAAAAATTCTTGTTTTGGAGATAGCATTATTTTTATTAACCAACCACAAAAAATTTATAACATAGAAAAAATATAATTTATATTTATAATTAAAGAGGATCATTATGAAAAAAGTTATTCTGCTGAAAAGAAGATTCTCATGAGAAATGTTCTATACCCAATATTGGTACAAAATATATTCAAGTTCTTGTAAAAACACAGAATATTTATTTATTTATTTATTTATTAAATTTTTATTAGTGAAACACCATGAGGTACAGTTGTAGACTTACAAATTTTTGTGCTTGGGTTTCAGTTATACAATGTTTGAGTACCCATCCCTCCACATTTTTGCCCATTTTCTACCACCATGGATCCCAGTATCCCTCCCATCCCCCTTCCCCCCATACCACCCTGCCTCAGTGACAGGGCATTCCCTTTTGTTCTCTCTCTCCTTTTGGGTGCTGAAAACACAGAATATTTAGAATTGAATACTTTTTAATGACAGGAAATTTTAAAAACAATATTTAAGACTTGTTTCTTTAGGAAAAAGGACATATCCAACAATTTAAACTATGCCTTCACATAGTCATGGCATGAGGAAGGCACAATTAATTGCTGTGTTTGTTTTATATCCAACAAACATTTGTCAATATACAATATTTGCTAGATTCTGCAAATGGGGGGGGCAGGTAAAAATGGTGAGGGGATCATAAAGTACCACAGAGGTTAGAGCCAAAACCACTTAATTAACAATGATTACTTGGGGAGAGAAGTTGTGCATCAGTAAAGCGCCAAAAGACCAATTTTTTTTTCTTTTTGGGTCACACCCAGCAATGCTCAGGGGTTACTCCTGGCTCTGCACTCAGGAATCACTCCTGGTGGTGCTTGGGGGACCCTATGGGATGCTGGGAATTGAACCCAGGTCTGCTGCGTGGAAGGCAGACGCCCTACTTGCTGTGCTATCGCTCCAGCCCCCAAAAGACCAAATTTTAAGAAAAAAAGAGCTGGTCCTGAGAATTGAAGCAAACCTGGAGTGATTGGAACTGCCCAAGTGTTCCCTCCATAGAGGCAGAAGGTTCCCACCCCAAGGCAGAGGGGAATCCAGAATCCTCTGCAGCATTTTTGGCCCACATTATCTTCATTTCATTGCTTAATTCTGACAATCTAAAAAAAAAATAATCCTGCAGTGCATCCTACATGAATCAAAGACACACACACACCCCAAAAAGCTTTAGTTCATTCTCCTCACTTGTGGCCAGGCCAGGTACTTTCTGCTACCATGGAGGAGAGTCTCTTGGTCCCCGGCCTGGCAGAGACATGGCCAGAGTCTGTTCATTCCCGGAAGAGGTGCCTACGAGCTCTGCAGTGAGGGTGACCTGGAGAACTCTTGGGGTGCTCCCGGGCCCCTGGACTGGGAGAAACAAGCAGGGGCTGGAGTGCTGAGCTGAGGCAGGACTGGAGCAGACTGCAGCGCAGGCTGAAGTAGGGGCCTTGGGAATTTCTGGGTGGGCTCGAGGTGGGAGCCCAACGGCAGGGCTAGACAGAGCCTTGGGCGCTTGGCAGGGGGTGGGGGGTGGGGGGCAAAGGGTGGGGCTAGACAGAGCCTTGGGCGCTTGGCTGGGGGTGGGGGGTGGGGGGC